CAAGATCTGATTGTTAATTCTCCCCTCTAGCTGATACACATTTCCTTTTAAATAAGTTACAAGAATTTGGTGTTAAATCAAGAAAACAACCTCTACCTGATAAGTTTAAGTATTCTCCTTACCTCTTTGCTAGATGATGAATGGATTTTATAGGGAGAAGTTACATGTCAATCACTTCTGGGAGTTAAAGGGTTAAAGATAACTAAACAACAATAAACTTTTTAGTAGTTAAAAGAACACATTAAAATTTGATGTGTCCATACTCATCTGCATTCCAATGAATGGTTAAATAAAACAATGTAATTATCTTAAGGCATTTTCCAACTGGTTGAAAATCTTTTGAGAAATGTGCACCAGGAATGTACAAAGAGCAGTATTTGTATGAGATTTTGTTTAGAACATATCATACATAAAAACAAAATAAACAGCTCTTATATTTCATAATTTATGGTTACTCATTATATGTTTGGAAAGTTTTCCAAAAGGCACTCCAATTGCTAGTTCATTTACCAAAGCTTTGTAAACATCACTGATGCCTTTGAATTAAGAGATGTACTTGAGCTCATGAGATTTCCCTCACAAATACATTTGTGATTAAATTAGATTTGTAGAATTGAGCAATAGAAAAAAGAAATGAAATTCATCATATTTGGAAGATGATGCTCATGTAACTTTTATACTGTTACATACATTTCCCATCTGCTCCCCTGTGCTCACATGTGCCAATTCCTGCAAGAACACTCTGTCAGCCAAGGAAATCGTAGAAGCACAATGATATTCTAGAATCCTTAATCTATACACATGCATTCCCTATTGTCTGTTTTTAACCCTTTACACTCTAACATCAATATATATGCATATTCTCCATACTTTTCTCTGTGTTCTGACAAGGAGAATTTGCTCAACAATCAAGAGCTGTTTTTTTTGTTAGTGATCATTTCCTTTATTCTCATGACCTTAATATTTAATTCAGGGATGATGGTGCAAGGAGAAATTAGCTCCTAATCACTATTTGGGGTTTGAGGATTAGAGAAAGTTAATGTTCAAATTATAGAAAACCTGGTGTGCCTGGCCTTTTTGTTTACTCTGCAACGAGATGTTAGTAAAGTAGGAATTCTTATCAATAAGAAATTTATCATGTACTATTTTAATTTTTTATCTCTCTAAAGATTTCCTCTTGTTTGATGATGTATTTTTGTTGCAGGCAAAGAAAATTAAAGTGTAGAGACGTGAAAAGAGATAACAACTGCACCTGTTGGTGCAAAGTTCAGGAACAGAAGATGTCACAGGGAACCCACTCACTTTTTGTCTGGGATAAAAAATGTAAGGAGACATTTAGGCTTGTGGAAACCTAAAAAGAACGTAATGGAAGTTCCTGTGCTCAGTTTGAATGCCACGATTTTCATAGTTTTTTAAATTTGTTTTGTTTTTTCAGGTACGTGGAAAAGCTAACATCATTGTAGAATTGATGAATTAAAAGCAAATTATGGCTTATGTGAAATATGTGAGAATTACTCATACTGAGTATAGAGCTTATTCTAAAATGGAGACCATTTTATGATTCCATTTTTAGTCACCCCAGATATGGTAATGTCATTTCCTGTGAACATTTCCAGCTTTTAAAAAGTGAGATTTTATTTTAAAACTGAAATAGAAGCCAATGTGCTGGGTAGTTGAACCCATGAACATGTTCTGCCACAGAAATATCAGGCATTGAAAAGATTACAGGGTATATGATCATGAAAAAGTCAAGTTTCATCGTTTGGTGGCTTGTTATTGAACTTTTAGTTGAACTGTTTAAGGCCATTTACCTTTAAACAAAACAAAACAAAAAAAAAAACAATCATAAGCCCTTCCCCCCTTCCCCCCTTCCCCCGGGTATAAGCCCACCTCTCGCTTTTCTTGTTTAGGGAGCGGGGCCGATGTTAGCCTTAATTTTTATAACCCTCTCAGCTAATGGAAATGAAAAAAAGCTGCTGTGGGATCAGGATATCTTGACCACCAACTTCAACTCGCCCGGTCCTACGCTTATCTCCAATCATTCCAATCACAGAAACCTGTTTGAGACTCTCAGTTAGTGGGCCACTAACTGAGAGTCTCAAACAGGTTTCTGTTTTGGAGAAAATTTGTCCGTTTAACTTATACTCGGACAATCATGAAAATGACAACGATCTCACCATGTTAAACACAAGGAATCATATTTACCTTCTGAACAGATATAGGGATCAGAGGAAAGCAACTGTAAAGTAAGTTGACAGCAATGTGGATTGGCTCTTCCCGTAATAACATCGAAACACCTCTAGCATTGAAATGGCGTAAAACTGTAAAAGCTTTAGGGGTTCACTTTAGTTACAATAACGAAGAATCAGTGCAAAAGAATTTCTACGATAAGCTCAAAGGAATTAAATCTCAGATACGCTTGTGGAGTTGGAGAGGCCTCTCTCTGTTTGGTAAAGTTACAATTATTAAGAGTTTACTACTTCCTAAAGTTTTATACATCTCGTCAATTCTTCCTTCTCCTTTGGAGTTCATAAAGGCCCTTCAATCAATTATATATAATTTTCTTTGGAAGGGTCCTGATAAAATCGCCAGGACAGCAGTAATAAATGATGTTGAATTTGGTGGCCTAAAGGTAACTGATTTTACAACGTCAATTATGTCACTCCGACTTTCATGGATTGGAAGATTTCTAAGCGATAATTTTTATCCCTGGAAAGCGTATCTATTACATTTACTAAAACCTTTTGGTGGAGAATTTTTTCTTCATTGTGATTATAATATTAATGACTATAACATTTCCCCAATATTTTATAAGGAGATGTTACACTGGTGGTCAGATTTTCGTTCTAAATTTGATCTTGTAAGTTTACGTGAAACAATCATCTGGAACAATCATAACATTAGAGTAAACGGCAAACCTTTATTCTATTATAATTATAATAGCGCAAATATTATTCTTTTAAGCGACTTAAAATTTGATTTGAGTAACACAGAGTCCTTTAACCTTGCAAAACGTAATGGTTTAAAAGATTCCAACTTTCTGACCTGGACTGGTGTTCGTTGCGCAGTACCAAGTCATCTAAGAATTCGATGCCACGAAATTAAGGAAGATCATGTCAGATCACTGCAATTTTAAATCGGTGATAAAATCTTTGATCCAGCACTTAGCAAGTCTAGGGATTTCTACAGTTTGCTTATATCCAGTAAGGCGACAGAGTCCAGAGGCTTCACAAAGTTGAAATCTAAATTTTCTATTGATGATGTGGAAACAAAAAAGGCCTTCTCATTAATAAGGTCCTGTATCTGCGAGACATATGTGCAATGCTTTCAATTTAAAATACTAAATGACATTTTATTCACAAATTCCCGCTTAGCTAAGATAGGTTTAATACAAAGCGATCTTTGCACTTTTTGCAATACTAGTGCGGAAACAATTGATCACTTATTCTTTTACTGTGTTTACTCACATGCATTTTGGGAAGAATTTGAATCTTATTGGATCGCTACAGCCAAAGAACAAAGGAAACTTGAGTTAAAGACTATTTTAATTGGTGTCACAGATACTAATTGTTGTTTATTTAATTACTTAATCGTTTTAGGTAAGCTACATTTATGGAATTGCCGTAGGAACAATAGTCTTCCTTTTTTCCCTTCGTATAAGGAACTAGTTAAAAGAAAATATGAAACTGAATGTCACATTGCGGCTAAGTTTAATGATAGGAAGATGCTAGAGGCTAAATGGAAACCCATTTTGAATTATAATTTAATAGATACATAGGTGTGTAAGCGAAAAAAAAAAAAAAAAACTGTAAAAAGTAGGGTAAGAATTGCAGTCTAAGGAAGTATTATATAGTAAGTAGAATAAGTAACGTCTTGTAGGTGGTATTGTAAGTAGTGTTCGTCTTGTTTTGTAAAGTAGTGTTCTTCGTGTTGCAATTAAAAAAAAAAAAAAAAACTGTAAAGTAACCTCAACACGTGATCGCGTGACAGTAAGGAAATTTGATTTCTGTTGTCAAGAACGTGATTATTTTAATTAAGCGAATGTCACGATTACATATCCGAAGATCATTCGTCTTTCGCTTCTCGACTTGTTGAATTCCTCGTTTGTAAAAGTGCTCTACACTTATCTACAAATCATTTAGTTTTACGCTTCAGTCAAAAGAAAAGAACTTTAGCTACGGGTGAATTTTCCCAAGAAATTCGATGGGTTGAATCCTTACCTCTGTATTCTAGGTAAGACTAATTGCAGCGGTTTAGGAGATATTTTGATGACAGTCGTTGTTTACATTACCCTTATTTGCTGAGATGCCCCGAACAATGTGCTGCAGTATATCTATTATCGCGTATACAGTCGTATGTAATTCTAATAAATACCAAAGGCGAAGCAATATCTGATTCAATTTTAATCGGGTCGGTAGATAGCGTAAGGGTTCAGGATGTTGGATAAACATTTGAACGCGAGGTCGGTACCTTTTTCATAAATTTCGATGACAAACATCAGAGCGCTTAAACTATTGTCAAAACCTTTGGAAAGAGACGTATTCGTGAAAAATTCGACTCGGGAGCTCGGTATGCTTGCATGTAAAAAATTTTCAGAACAAACTAAGCGTGTCGTGAACTCAAGGAAGCAAGGTGTGTATGTTGATCAAGCGATTGTAGTATTTCCTTTGCTCGCTTGTCTTCATAAATCTACCGCTTTCATCTCTCTCTTATCGGCTGTTAATCATGTCTAACGCGGGTAAGTGTGTTTCACACAGTGGAGACGTTTGTAATTTGATTTGACCGTTTCAGATGGAGTGCAGCACTTGAAGTCAATCTTACTTGTTGAATAGAGTGCGAGATCCGTAGTTAGTTCTGATGACTGGAAGGTACGTTGCGAGGTTTTTTCCAATCGCCGAGACCAACTCTTTTGAGAGAGCAACTCAAATAAGCTCAGATACGGGGCAAACCAAAACCCTGGAGACTCTATGTTACCTGGAATACAAAACAGAGATATGCATGTTGTTGATTGCAAATAGGACCCGAACTTAGTGTTCATTTCGTATTGCTGACTTCCAGAGACATTACGCAACGTTATGTAACAAGCAGTAAAAATATATTCAGTTGTGCATGTTACGTAGGTGAGGTTAAGTTAAGTAAGTTAGCGGTTGTGTATCTAGCGAGAAGTTTTTTCACGTTCTTTTTTAAAACGGTGTTCTTTGCCCTTAAAACACAACAAAAGAGCGGTAGGGATTTGTGCGCGTCACATCGAGAAAAATCGAACTTTCGGTTAAACCGATAATTTTCCTTTTACAGATATATTTTGGAGGAATTCGCCGAGGAAGCAAGAAAGTTCCTATTCATGGAACGGGAAAGCTGTGACTATGATATAGTTGTGGGTAAAGCGCTACGTGAGGACAAGGTGTTAACCCTTTCACTCCTAAGATCTGATTGTTAATTCTCCCCTCTAGCTGCTACACATGTCCTCATTAATTAATTATGAGAATTTGGTGTTAGATCAAGATAACAACTTCTACCTGATAAGTTTGAGTATTCTCATTGTCTGTTTGCTGAATAATGTATGAATATTAAAGGGAGAAGTTACATGTTAATCACTTCAAGAAGTTCAAGGGTTAAACACCGTTTATTTCCAAAAAAATGGAATGAGGTACTTCCAAAATTAAAACATCCATATGTAGCAGTTAATAAAGTGAGGGGTAGATTCGAATATCGTATCCAATTAAGAGCTTTTTTGAAGACAACTCCTCGAACAATAAAATATGATGACTTCCCTTGCCTGGCGATGATACTTCTGAAGATATGGTCTCAGTGATACTCGCAATAAAGCAGAAAATAATTATCAGGAGATTACTAAGGAGCTTGCATGCACTCTTCTGATCCTGATAAGTTCCTTCCTCGTTTTGACAAAAGATATGCGAAGAGCCTCGCCCGCAAATAACTGACGGGATTCTCATAATATCTAAATAGCTGAAGTCAGTCCTATAAGGGGAACGATATGAATTGCTGTTGCGTTGTAATTTCATCAGAATCCCCACATCCACAGCATTAAACAAAACGAAATCGTTGGTAGAGTTCTTTTAGATTCTCAAGTAGTTTCTTTGTTGGCTATTGCATTCTTTACTGATTCAAACATTTGCCAACTTTGGAGAATATTACTACGTTATCTTTTCCTAATATTTGTATCATCTCTCCCTTGAAAGCTTATTTCGATTACCCTTTATAAAATAATTCAAATAGTACGTGCGCTCTGATTGGCCATAAAACCATTTTACATGAGCGTATGTAAACACGGTTTTCGTTCCTCTTTCATTAGTTATTTTATAAAAGAAATGTAAAATGGTATCCGTGTTTACATAAACAAAAAATTGTTGGAAACTCTAATTAAATCTAAGATTTTAAAGTTCACATTGGAAAAATCGACGGAAGAAAGCTCTAGTTCTCCAATTTGTATCAATAGTCTCTATGCCTATGAAGTCACTCTGTAAGGCCGGGCTCTTCACAAGGGCCGATCAAAGTGACTGTAGGGGCCTGCCACTCTAACCTGTAAACACAATAATCAGAACACTGTGATTAAACGACAAGGGAGAACAATAGAGTGCATGAATTGCGTTTGATTATTGAGATGGGAGCCAGCGATGAAGAATGAAATATGAAAACCATAAACTTCATGATGTGTGTTAAAGGAGCAAAGCACTAGATCGAACAACAAACAGGGTGACTGTTGTCAACTCGACATTAAAAAGAATATTAAGGATCCTAACTGACAAATATGGATCAATATCAGTATATGGGCGACTGCCCACCTGCCCCTCCCACAAATATCACTGTAAAACAGAAATTTCAGTTAATTGGAGTAAAGTAATGAGCTGTACCTTGCACGGGTTGAAGGCTGACATAGTGCACCTCATGAATATGTCCCAGCACAAGAGGTTTGCTTTCGTCAACTGGACAATATGGCGTAATGATTACATCATTGCTATGGGATAGACTGCTGACCACACGAATGCACGTTTCAAAGTAGTTCGCTGCCGCACACAGAATCACGTGATCACCCCAAGTGCCATCTTGTTCCATGTGTACTAGGTATTCAGTCCATGTTTGATGTCCATGGACAAAGTGAAACAGATCTGTTCCATCCGGCTGTAAGAAGAATCAGTTAAAGAAGGAATCTTAAAAGGATTGTTGACGGGAACTTGAGCGCGTAGAGTACGAGTCAGGGAGTAATTTCATCAGAATGGTACGAGACGACCTTTAATTAGCAATTTATTGCATAGTAACAAATTTTGTGATTGAAACGTCTTTCAGATCGTCCGTGTATATTCCAAAACGCTTTGGAAACAGCAGGAAAACAAAGATCTATCATTTAAAGAATAACTAGAATTCTGCTCTCTAATGTAGGTTTAAATGGAACTTTTTTTTAAACCAAATTAAATTCAAATGACTAAAATCGCGGTTGTATTCTCACTAAACCTTTGTCATACTCTTAAAATAACATTGCGTAACATACTCTGTTAGACATATTAATATCAACTTACAAGTTTTGGGTTACGCCTGAGGTACTGGACCAAGGTTTGTCTTAATTCGCCATGTAGGATTTTGACTCCCTTAACAATTTCCAGTTGTTCAGACAAGGCATAGAACATGCAATTTCCTGATCCTTGATTGTCAGATATTCTGAAGCCCCTGTCTGATGCAATATTTCTCAACCCCAATGATAGATCTGTTCTGCTCTTGACTTTGCTCGCATCGAGTTGCATCCGCTGCAGCTTCTGGATGATTCGGTCAAAAGAACCTAGAAAAAACAAAGTTCTTATTTATCTAACTGCATGATTGAAAGAAGCGAAACAATCGTCTGCTGGAAGATAACAATCCTCAACTTACTAAGGGAAACTTTCAGGTTAATAAGGAAAAGAAGGGCTTTAACCACCCGACTTCCACTGTTTGGTCCAACAACTCAACCTTAAAAAGGAAGCTCTTACTGTCATTTAAGTCCCGTTTTAAGTTCGATATCTGCCCGTGAATGAATACACTAGTAACCGAGAGAGAAGAAGCGGAGAAGAAAAATTAACACGAGGTCTACACTCTGACATTTCTGTGTAACTGGAAAAAGGAATCCAGGGAAAAAAAGTACGGGCTTCAAAAATATACTGATGTATTTCCTCTACCGTATGAATATGTTATTACTTCAATATTGTTTCGAAACACAACTGTATCATGAATAGAACATAAACTTGTTTTGATAGAAACAGTATTTAAACTTTGCTTTTGTTTTGAGAAAAAGCAGAACAACTCCCCATGTCTCCCTGTTTCAGACAATTTATGGTAGTTTCCAATTGGATGAAAACTTCAAATGACTCAACGAAATAAATAAAACTAAGCCGTCCGTCCGGATCAGAAAGTAAAAAAAAAATCCAATTTGTTTGTATACGTCTTACGTTTGTGACTGAAGAGTGTAGTGGTATAAATAAAAACATGTCTTCTAAGTAAAAAATACCTTACTAAGTTTTTACGAAGCATAGCTGGCCTGAAGTCAAAAGTCAGGGAAAGAAAATTGCTGGATCTCCTTGTAACCTGTCTGTACTTCTTTGCGGATATCAATTATCATTTGTTAAAAAATTCTTTTACTCACTTGGAGTCAGTAATGAATCCACTGTTAGTTGTTTGGTCGACGTATCAACAAATTCGACCTGCCGAGCTCTAAAACTTGTGTCTCGTCTTTTAGAAGCTAAAAAGATAAAAAGAAACTTTTGTTTTAATAACACAGTAAACAAGAGGATAAAATGACTAATTATTATTCATGTTTAACATCTTTTTTATACGAGGTGTTCGTGCTTTCCGCCACAGTTAATAAGAGACCGAAGGCCGAGTAGCCCCCTAAAACACTTTTTGAAGGATATTTAAAACATTCTCACCATGAACTATGTCCCACATCTTCTCCACAAGACTGTCACACTGCTTC